TACTTTACAGTATACAATGTAACACCCATTATGTGTGCAATATCCCCAAATACCCTCTAAACCATCCCAGAATGCACCAAGCTTCCCCTTATATATTTTATTGTTCTGCTTTACAAGCTCCTTTACAGACATGATTTCGGGGGCGATTATGTTGTGTTCGTATCATGTTGTGTTCTTTAATATCTAATCAACAACTGGCCTTCTTGTTGCCTTTATCGCCCCTCATTTATGCCTAAAATATTGACGATGAAGAAAATGGCAAAATCTAATTTTTTTTAAAAGCAGCATAATCTGTTCAATAAAGATTTACATACAAATAAATTGAGAAAATCAAAACATGCAGCATAAAACTGGCAGCTCACTGCATTATCCAAGCTGGAGGTCAAGCAATGCAAGGTAAGTATACTAAGTTTTCAATAATCAGGTTATTGGTGTGCTTGCTCCTATTTTTTGCCAAAAATGTTTATGTTGATTTGAAGTGTAACGGGGGGTGCCCTAACTTTGGATGGATTTTTACGCGCTTGAACGCACGGCGCTCTATCGCTAGTTGTCGGACTGGACTGCTTTTTCCGCCAATCGGACTGGACTCCACCAATCCTTGATTTTCAGCATGGGGCAAAATGATATAGGTAACGGGGGGTGCCCTAATTCCGACCTATGTTCCATGCAAACGCACATACCTTTGTCAATAGTTTATCTGACCAAAACCCCGCGCAACATGAGATATAATATTGACAGATAAAGATCACAACGATTAAAGCTGCACAGCTGTGTATTTTACTTGGGTGTAGCGCCTTGCACAGAAGCGTAATGGTTCGCGAAACGCACGGCAGGTTTTTTTGTCATTTTGCCGGTGGAACGTTCTATCGCAACCTAGTGTTTAACACAGGTCGATCTGAGAAGAGAGTTTAGAAATGATAATAATAAAATTATGACTAAAACAATCTACAACTGTTTTTATGTCCCAAACAAGTCCTCTTTTTATGATTACGCGACTTGCTCCAAAGTAGTGATGCATACCGGTTCACTGGACTTGGATCCGGACTTAAAAAATGTTTAGGTTCAAGTCCAAAAAAAACTAAAAGTCAAGAACCGAGTCCGGACTTATTACCATAAAAGACCATTTCACATACCCCTTTTCTTTCCAAACCACCTAAAACCTTCTGTAGATTGTAAAATCTTTGCTGCAAAATGAAGAAAACATTGCCATTGGGCATCGTCAAGTACCGGCCTCCATGTTATGTGGCCAAAGTTTCACCCAGACAACATTGCAAGGTTGCCAACATGCAATTTTGTATATGCCATGGGTTTTAGGTCCGGACTTACAAGTCCGGAACTGAACCTAAACCTCTGGACTTGAATCCGGACCTGAACCTGAAATTGGGTTTAGGTATGCATCACTACTCCAAAGTGGCTGTTTGAAAAGCAAAACCTGCATTTTTGACATGCTCGTCAACCCCCGAACAAGCGTCGAATTCACACAGATTTTTCACTCGTCTGTTGCCGGAGTGTACAAACTAAAACAAACTTTGTGAGATTACCGATATCAACACAAAAACATTGTCCATTCTTGTGGTTATTTTTAGGCACGTGCTCCCATGCATAACGCCGCAACAAGGATTTTTCAAACAAGTTTGGTATTAGGGATGGGTCGGAATTAGGGCACCCCCCGTTAATGCTTTACAAAGTTTAACAATTGCTCTGTGCAAATCGTGCAGGAGATATTCTGTAAAAAAATCGGCTAGATACATGTATGTTTAAATTTAAGAAGCATAATCTATTGGAAAATAGCACTCCCTTCTAGACTTTAGGACTCCTTTAAGATGGAATTCTGCCAAAACATTTCAGAATCTATTATTTATTACTGTAACAGTGTATGTTATTTGTGCAGAGAAGACAACCTAGTTTCCTAATTAATAAAACAAAATGAAAGCATTTTAATTTTGCAATACTTCATGGAGGTATAAGAAATCTCGGAACTCTTGTTGAAGAGGGGGTTGTATAGTATAACAGTTTGTAAAGGCTTGTACAACCTTGTGGTAATGTAATACCAGTACCTCTGCATAGCTCTGCAGATACAATATAGCAAGGAGCTCTGGTTGCCATCACAGTGTTTGAAATACCAGTCTGCACAATAGTAACGTGGCTGAGTTTTTACCCCCTTGTCCCGGTTCATCACTGAGGTTGACTTCCTTATCCAGACCATTTCCTCACTGTCAACCCCTGTGATGAACCAGGACAAGGAGGGTACAAATTCAGCCATGCATGTTAGGGATTGTGTTCTGGCTGCAAAAGTGCCACCAACATCGGCTACATATAGTGGCAAGAAGCAGAACTCCAGTCAGAAGCTTTAAATTTGAGGAAGGTGTGTGATAGACATTAATTAAAAGTAAGCAGGACTAAGATACATGTACATGTACATTGTACAATACAGCTTGTGTAAGAAGAAAATCCCTATGAATGTTCTAACATGGATGGTCCTTGACAAATCAGATGAAATTATTTTCAGATGTAACTACCAAGTTGCACACTGTCAGATTAATTTTCATCATATCAAAATAATACCGTATTTCCTCTAATTGCATATGCATCTCCAATAATGTAATACAAATGAGAAAGTAATAAATACACACATTGTAAGAATCCCAAACCAAGGTAAAGTATTGAAATTTAGATATTTCTCACTTTGATTGTCCCCGAGTTCCCAGTCTTCTTGTCGTTAGCTGTGGAAACTGTTGACGGATGATCTATTGAGAAACAACAAAAAATCTATATAATTATGTAAATTAGTTTACAGCTCATTCTCATTGAAATGTACAAAATAGTGATTTTAAGGGTCAAAAATTGATAAACTTTTCAGGCGTAGGATCTTTATAGGAGAACATCTCAATTAATGATTAACAAAAATTGACAGTTTAATTGTCATTGGATGTTACCAAAAACAGCCAAAAAGCCCCACTTTACACAATTTTAAAGTGGTGTATGTCAAAAGTGTGAATGATACTCTGTGGACATGTGTCCAAGGTATCCCCATACTGAATTTCAGATCATTTGGATCTAATACCAGGGCTCCAGATCCTGAAATGTATATTTGTTGCCTGAAAATACCCAAAAAAAAACAAATTCAACAATTTTAAAGGCCTGTATCCAGAAAATGAAAAGTTGTCAGGGGGTATTTGCATACTCTACCTTCATGCCAAACTTCATGTTATTTGGCCCCAAAATGGCAGAGTTGAATCCCTTTAAAGAAATGGCAGGAGAAAAACAAGGAGGAGGAGAAAAAACATGAGGGAAAACAATATGTTTCACCACACCATGATGCCATAATAATCAATTAGAGACCTTTAGAATACGTCAGTTGGCGAAGGTATGAGCTTGCAGAACACTTGCTGTTTCTAAATATTAAATATCCAAAAGATGCTCAAGTAAGATTTATTGTCTATGTGTTCTGTGTATCCTATTATACTGTTTAATGCAACCATTATCTCTACAATTTCAAAATTTCATCAGGCCACACCAATTTCATTTGTTGGTTCACGAATTTGCCCGCTTGGAAATATAGAGTGGCATATAGGTATATACTCTATATCTGCTTGAACTTGAAGATGACTCAATAGTCAGATCATGGATGCCACCAACATCTGCTTGGAGATAACTTTTTCATATGCTTGGAAATGATTATAGATATGTTCCTTTACATCTACTTTGATAATGATGCTGTACAATGTACATATGCCACCCTAGACATGAATAGGCTATAGAGATGTACATGTAGAGTAGATATTTTGATTATGTCTTTAATGACATTTAACCCTCAAGCTGCTGGAGTTTCTGTCTAGTACGTGATCTCAGTTTCCAGACCCCTTTTAATATATAAGAGGGGGTACTACTTTTATAAATCTCAGTTTTTGTTTCCTTTCTCCACAATTCCCCCAATATGTTATACATCTCTGAAAAGTTAAGAATCTAATGTCACAATTATTGTCAGTAGTAATGATGTACAAGGGCAATAATGCAATAAAACATCCTTTTTTGTGTCCTCATTGTATTAGGGTCTGCCTAAATACATTGTACCTAAACCGACCTCAACCGGCCTCAACCGACCGCATAATGGGTTAATATGCAGTATACATGGGCTAACAGTAACAACCTTTTCCAACGCTTTTTCTACTTTTTATTTCCAAAATTTAAAAGCATGAAGGGATGAGTTGTTGATCGACATCCAACTATTGAAATAAATGATCTGTCTAGCCACCCCCCAAAGTTCGTAAGTTGGTTCCGCAGAGCGTTCATCCTTGAGGTCAATGGAGGTCAAGCCGGTAGGCATTCGTGCTTAGCAGCTTGGATGTCAGGCTGGAAAACACTCTGTATATAGCTATCATGAGTTGGTTATGATAGTATTTGTGCTTTACTATGATTTATAAACCATCATCTTTGCGTTCTGTTGCCTGTATAAAAGCAAAAGGTGTACAGAGGTGATGGCGATCCAACATGGCGGCCATGAAAAGCATTCTAACGTCAAACCAGAGGAACAACTTTTAAAAACTGGTAAATACGTCAGAGTTACAGTGTTTTTTTCCATTCATACAAGCATAGACAATGTATCCAGAGCATTGGAAAAGGTTGTTAGCCCATGTATACTGCATATTAACCCATTACGAGGTGGGTTGTTGGAAAAAGGAGTCCAGTCCGATTGGCGGAAAAAGCAGTCCAGTCCGATTTGGGGGTGGAAAAAGCAGTCTGGTNTTATTTATTTATTGAAAAATGCAACAAGACATTACACTGACTCTCAAGGCAGCAAAGCTGATGTTAGAGAGTCAACACATAAGGACAAAACATATAGGGCACATAATATCAACAGTGTGAAATTACAAAAAAATGATCATAAGAACCTATATCATTCCAATTAGCCGAGTAAATATATGTACACATCTAAAATAACACATTTGGAGGTCAGAGGTCGATAAAATAAGTCACAGTCAGACTACCTTATATGAGAAAACAAAAAAGGATACTAAATAACAAGGTTAGAAAGGAACAGCTGGAAGTGCCTAGAAACGGTTTGTTGAAGTGATGTAAGTGTGGAAGGAGTGTGAGAGCGCATTCTCTTTTTAGCGAACGCCCACGAAAGCCCAAAAATTGTCGCACGAATCTTAAAATTTTTTGTGTGGTCATGTCCAGAGTGTGCTCCCGGGTGTCCATGCCAAGTTTGAAGCGAATCCATCGAGCCGAACTTAAATAAATCGAAATTTACTGGGTTTTTTCTCTTCTTGGCGAACGCCCACTTTACTTCCGGGTTCGCTGCGAACGCCCACTACTCTTTGCAAAATTTCGGCCCTCGCGCAACGCCGGCAAAATCCACCACCACAAATATGTTCCTATATGCTTCCCCTGAATTTCTGACACGTTTCCGTGCTTTACGAGCTTTTAAAGTACCCATTTTTTGACAAAATATGCGCTACGACGAGCTCGCCGCCTCGGCGTATACGTTCTACCTGGTCACATGACTTGCGGTCGGGGACTGTTCGATAATTTCATGATCAGCGGGAGGGAGGACAGGAAGGGCAGAAAAACGCAATCTACCGCACATAAGGGGCAGAATTTCGTGTTTGTAACATCAAACATAAATGATTTCCTTTCTTACATAATTTTCACCTCGGTTCTAGTAGTGACACCGCCGGCGCAAATTACCATGTTGTAAAATTGTTCTGCTGAACTATAGACAGACGCAACGTTACAGTACGGAGGGGGCCCTAAATTTTTGTCGGCGCCGCTCGCCACGTTCGTTGAAAACCACGTCCGCGCTGATTGACCGCCCCATCAGTGAGCAACAAATGATCGAGGCGGAGAAGTTCGACCGGGCGGGGAATATTAATGTGCTACCGTATTTAAAATTTGACACCGAACCCAAAACAACAACGAGACTGCTGAGACGCGAGCGAAAGAGTTTTTGAAAAATATCTCGTTTAGTAAACTACTGCTCATGTCACAAAATCAAAGGAATAAAAACTTTACAGCATTGAACGCTTCTGGCCGCTTGCTTCCCACGTTGTGTTGTCAAGACGACGGCACGTCCTGATCAGACACAGCGGCGTCACGCCCACAGCAGCACGCGCACGGGCCCCACCCACCGGCGGGCAGCAAAAGATTTCAAAGACTTCGCCCAAAAAACCCTATCATTGTAAGGCCATGCCTTGTACATCTACCCATCATTTTAACGTAATACTGGCTGGTATAGTCCCGCTTCAAAATAATTTTCTGCGGCATTTGTTTATATTTAAATAGATTTGTGATACGAAGTAAAAAGATTTGTGTCATTTGAACCTTTGTAACGGCATGGCTATAACATTTGTTGAAGATTTCTGTGTTAAACTATAGCCGAAAGTGCATTAGAACTGACCATCAGTTGAAGCGCAACTGTCATGTTATACTATAGTAACGTTATTCACTACGTTACGACGACTTGCGGACCATTCTAAATCTTACCATCTTACCACTCATACATCTATTTAATAGAATTGCGTTCATACTTACGGGGGTATTTATTTTCGGCCGGGGTTCCACTGAGATATCGGCGGCTGGCTGGCGACCATCCCGTCAGCATTACCAAGCACCGCGACGTGAGTGACCTAGATTATCTTACCGTGCGTCTTCTCGTTTTACCGCAACTTCGTGTCAATATCGACGATACATACATGAAATACGTTCATTTATTAAAGTTTAACTTTATTTTCACGCGTCAACATCCGACATTTTACGTACGAATCGATGTAGTGCAATTCTCCTTGCCGGTTTTCGCTATATTCGTCGGTAGTCGTTGGATTTGTCGGGGAAAACCTCAAATAAGGTACTTTTTGTATTTTGAAAAGTTTTCAACAGTGCATACTTTATTCGGCGGTGTCACAACTAGAACCGAGGTGAAAATCATGTAAGAAAGGAAATCATTTATGTTTGATGTTACAAACACGAAATTCTGCCCCTTTTGTGCGGTAGATTGCGTTTTTCTGCCCTTCCTGTCCTCCCTCCCGCTGATCATGAAATTATCGAACAGTCCCCGACCGCAAGTCATGTGACCAGGTAGAACGTATACGCCGAGGCGGCGAGCTCGTCGCAGCGCATATTTTGTCAAAAAATGGGTACTTTAAAAGCTCGTAAAGCACGGAAACGTGTCAGAAATTCAGGGGAAGCATATAGGAACATATTTGTGGTGGTGGATTTTGCCGGCGTTGCGCGAGGGCCGAAATTTTGCAAAGAGTAGTGGGCGTTCGCAGCGAACCCGGAAGTAAAGTGGGCGTTCGCCAAGAAGAGAAAAAACCCAGTAAATTTCGATTTATTTAAGTTCGGCTCGATGGATTCGCTTCAAACTTGGCATGGACACCCGGGAGCACACTCTGGACATGACCACACAAAAAATTTTAAGATTCGTGCGACAATTTTTGGGCTTTCGTGGGCGTTCGCTAAAAAGAGAAACCCAGAAGAATGGAGGTCAAGCCGGTAGGCATTCGTGCTTAGCAGCTTGGATGTCAGGCTGGAAAACACTCTGTATATAGCTATCATGAGTTGGTTATGATAGTATTTGTGCTTTACTATGATTTATAAACCATCATCTTTGCGTTCTGTTGCCTGTATAAAAGCAAAAGGTGTACAGAGGTGATGGCGATCCAACATGGCGGCCATGAAAAGCATTCTAACGTCAAACCAGAGGAACAACTTTTAAAAACTGGTAAATACGTCAGAGTTACAGTGTTTTTTTCCATTCATACAAGCATAGACAATGTATCCAGAGCATTGGAAAAGGTTGTTAGCCCATGTATACTGCATATTAACCCATTACGAGGTGGGTTGTTGGAAAAAGGAGTCCAGTCCGATTGGCGGAAAAAGCAGTCCAGTCCGATTTGGGGGTGGAAAAAGCAGTCTGGTGGTTTCTACGAAATTCTACGAAAGACCATAGGTACAATTTTTTCTTGTGTGTGTACTGGTAGTTTCTATGGGTACTTCGAGTTTCTATGAATACTTTGAGTTTCTATGGGTACTTAGAGTTTGTATGGGAACATATATGTGACTCACTATATGCCTCCTAACCCGTAATTCAGGCAGCCTTGGGTGAGGAATAGCGGACAATCGATTTACACCTCTTGGGACCACCGAAAAGTAGTTTCTATACATACAGGTCACCTAGGCCACACCAATTTAATTTCTTGGTTAACGGATTCGCCGCTTCATTTTTTTCGGATTTGCAAATAAAAATAAAAATTTAGAATCAACTGCAAAATGCTCATATTTTGCCCTGAACAGTTGAAAACAGTCCTTTTTATCCTAGTTGTTACAGTTATTCCATCTTTCAATGCAATGGTGTCATTAAAAGTTCAAAATTAACTGTTTAAATTTTGAACGAGCCTAGTGTGTTGACTTCATGGCTCCTATCGTACCATTTTGGGGCATAATAGGATGCCTAGGCCTGTTTTTATTTTCTTTTTTTTTTCGCCCGCCCGCTCCATTATTTTTCTAGAAAAATCCGTTAACCAAGAAATTAAATTGGTGTGGCCCTATCCACAATAAACAAAAGTTAATTATTAAGGGATTCTTTCTTACAATTGTACTTCCGGTACTTACATGCTTGTCGGTGTAATGCAAAATCAGCCATACCCGGCTTTAGCGGGGGCCATCTGGATGTTGGGCGGCCGGCAACCGTAAAGCGATTTATTCAGGCTATTTACATGCAAGCAGGATCGGCCCTGGAAATCTCGTCAGTTGACAGCTTCATCTTTTGACTAATTATTATTACTTATTTGTAAGTAATAATCCGGAGGCATCATGATGATGATGATGTTACAAACTGTAAGTTCCCATACAAACTCTAAGTACTCATAGAAACTCTAAGTTCCCACACAAACCCTATTAACCCTATCTAGACCGGGCTTTTTTGGGCTTGGTGGGACCGGGGGGGGGGGCTCTTTCGGCCCCCCCCTCACAACTCGCGAACGGTATATCGTAGGACCACCAAATTTTCAGAGGATGGTGTACTAGTAAAAATTTATCATACGTACAATTTTTATGTCGTTGTGACGTAATATGACGTCATTATGACGTCATTAATGTGATTTTACTGGCCAAAACCGTCTAGATATGTTATTACCTGAAAACTAAACAGTATACTACATAACTTTACCAAAAGTGTTTATGACAGAATATTAGGATGTACTAAGTCTTATGTTGCCCATAGCAACACCGGTGACGTCATAAAATGACGTCATGCATATATTACCTATCCGCCATCTTGGATCATCAATCTTGAATTTTGAAAAATAGTTGTTTTTTCAGGATAAAGCCTAAAATACATTGTAAACAGACTAAAGACGTTCATATGAACCTTTTTTGTAAAAAGAAATGGGAGTATTGATGAAATGTTAAGGAAAATAAGCTGTATTTACCTGATCTAATGATATGGTCGGCCACCTTGGATTTGGGCCAATGACGTCATCAAATTAGCATAAATTATGCATTTTTAATGATAAAATTTACATATAATTATGTGTGATGTTATTTATATTAGAAACAATGTGTAACTTGACATTAAACCCATAAAATTCTGTTGTTTAAATGGAAATTATTAAATTATGCAAAAAATGCCTGTCAGAAACCCGTTGCCATGGCAACAAGAAAAATCATAATCTTATTCCACTGATACAGATTTGTTGCCAACAATATTTTAGGAAAAGTCACCAAGTTTGGCGGTTCTACCTCTAGCCATTCAGACGCTATGTGACATCAAAGTTGCCGCGGGCACTTTTAGCCCCCCCCCGGTCTAGATAGGGTTAAAGTACTCATAGAAACTCTAAGTACCCATAGAAACTCTAAGTACTCGACATAGTAACTCGAAGTACTCATAGAAACTCGAAGCACCCATAGAAACTAGCAGTACACACAAAAGAAAAAACTGTGCCTATGGTCTTTCGTAGAATTTCGTAGAAACCACCGGACTGCTTTTTCCACCCCAAAATCGGACTGGACTGCTTTTTCCGCCAATCGGACTGGACTCCTTTTTCCAACAACCCATTACGAGGTTGGTTGCGGTCGGTTCAGTCCGGTTGAGGTCATGATCAGTTGAGGTATTTAGGCATAACGATTGTATTATACATTTTGTAGTATCCAAAACCATGTATTCAATGCTAATATCAAGGCTACAAAATATCTGACAAGTCCTGATAACATCAGGATTACATACTAGTACATGAGAAAAGATTGTACCCAGGAATGACTACAGGTGAGTAAATGACTACAGACTGTCCTGGGTGTTGAACTGACTATTCAGCTGAAAGGCTTATTTACATCAACATGGTATTTTCCTTTCTGAGGCTTTGTAAAAGATATTCTTTCATGTCAGTTGAAAGCTTCAGCTTGCTTGAGAAATCTTTATCAACTTCATAACATAAACTCCATGGGCAATAAACACATCAAAATAATAAAATATATATTTTCCACAATGCTTTCAATACAGTACACTCTAGCACACATTAAATCACTTTTACTTGGAATACACAGTTCCTGACAAATGCTGACAACATACAGATTACTTTCATTGAAAAAAAGGAAACGAGGCATTATTAGCGGTGAATTTTATGACTACGGACTGTCCTGGGTGCTGAACTGACCATTCAGCTGAAAGGCTGATATATTACAACGACGGTATTCTCTTTTCTGGGGCTCTAATTTCTAAAAATACTTCTTGTCCTTGACGTCTATCTCGTTTGTGACTGCGGACCAATTTTAACTCGTTCCACATGCTCCCCACATCATCGCTACTTTCTGGAGAATCCTCGCCTAAGGAAGGATAAATTCCCCTAGAGTTAATAGTATCAAGGTCCCCAAGCACGTATTTCAGCGTAAATCTGGACATTTTTGCCGCTACAACCAAAAAGGCACTAAAAACAACAAATCAAGGCGCTTGGCAGACGACAGCGCCATTTTGAGGAAATCCAGCCGCAACCATGGTGACAGATGTCTGGTTCAGGTCATTGACCTTATTTGTTTGGAGAAGAAGAGGAAGAAGAAACAGACCAAACGCAATATCATATTATGATTTCCTAATCAATTAACGTAATGAAACAAAGGAAATTTGTACTCACTTTTCCAAAACTTGCAGCATTGACTGGCTGGATATCCTGTTTCTCACAGAAGTCCAGGTAGTGCATGTAGAGGGCACTTCTTGGAATACACACCCCTTCTGCCATTTCATAGTTTTCTTCAAGCCTGATCATGAATGGAAACACACTTAATCAATAAATTGGCACCATATTTAATGTATGTAATATCCATCCCTGGTCCTAATTATTACCATATTTCCCAAATTTTGACTTGTTTGATAAACAAACTGCAAGTTTACAATTTGTTAGTTGTAGCATCAATGCACTATACCTCTATTATTACATGTAAATAATCACAATACTTTTGACCATGTCGATCACAATACTTTGACCATGTCGATCTTGTGCCCATGTGAATTTGCTGAACTCGGGTGACCTAATTATTGCCATAAATAAAAAATTCTAAAATGATTAAAGCCTTTCCTATAAAATACAAGCCAAATTACACATTGCAAACACAAGATTGATAGATAATAATCAACATATTGATATTTCAACCAGCACACTTGTGTGTAGTCTTACAACCTTGCACTAACACACCAGACTGTTTTGTTATATACTGAGGATACGGGCTTCGCCAGTAGTCATCTTGCATGACTCAGCGAAGTCACTGGGTGAAGTTTTATCTCACAAACAACAGAGTCGTGTGAATGCAGAATTAGAGCTGCAAAACCACATTACAGACTGCACTATAACGTTATTACTCCGTGAAGGAGGTCAGGACCTCCGGACGGAGTGTTGTGATCGGCTGATTTTTCATGTTCGCAGTCAAAACACTGGGTTCTCTTTGTGTAATCGGCATGCAATTTTATACGCCGTCTGCGGGCATGCCCGTGTTGATGCACGAATGTGTATTTTTGCCGTTGCTGCTTTCACGGTCAATGTAACATTGCAGACGCACCCCTACAATTACGAGGCGAATTGGAATGGTCCAGAAAAACGCGTTGTTTGGAATAGCAGTGGGGGGGTGGAACTTCATGCAGATACGGGGTGGTTTTGATAAGTGGTTAAAGATGTTTTTGCCCGTGGTTAAGAGATGGCAAGTTTTTTGGAAGATGTTCGCAGCCAAAACGCATTCTTCCGCACGTCGCATTTCTGTGTAATTTCGCATGTGGTGTGGCATTATGTCCGGGATGATGCACGTCTTTTTATTTTTACCGTAGCTGTTTTGATATTGGAGTAAATGCTTATTTTCGAAACATCCCCATGTCGTTGAAATGTTTTCGTCCGTTTATGGTTTATGTGACCGGTAGTTGTAAGTCGCGGTCAGGCTGATGGGGACGGAAATGTGGGGTGGTCAGTGGTCAGCATTACGAAATGTAAATACCGATGACGTAATCCTATCGATTTCGAACTGGTCGGCTGTGGCAACCTAGTGGCGACGTAGCAACTGGCCGTAGCAACAGTGTCGTCCTAGCAACGAGCACGCTGGCCGCTTCTCTGCCAATGTTTTTGGGTTGGGCCGCTCCATAGTGTTAGTGGAGCAGCTCTTTGTAAACATGGACAATATTTTTGAGCAACCCATCAATGTGTTCTGCCTCGTGGTCGGATGTGGTCTGGGGCTGGTAAACCGCACATACTAGTAGATCGGGTAATTCTATGATTTGCTAGTTGTAAAGGCGTCTTGTAGTATGAGTCGGTATATGAAGAAGTAGCCTGTGTTACACAATCATGCTTTCGGCCGGATTGATGTGCAACTGTTACTAATTGCAGGGACTGCGCTAATGCCGACCAGTCGCGCTGTCCTGATACACCGCGAATGTGCGAGTGTTCCCTGTAGACAGTCCCGGGAGCACATTCCAGGAGCCAAACCAAAATACGTTCATGAAC